TGCAAGCACATTATTAAGTTTGTAAATGAGCATCAGCCAAAACAGCCAGAGTTTGCTTGCAGTACAGCTGCAGGGGGGACACAGAAATGTTTGCACATCAGGGAGAGACAATGGCTACAAAACTATTATGGATACCAGCAGCCCAGATCACATACACAGCTGCAAAGATGTTGCAGATTACAAGGTCACTGATCATTAGAGGAGGAGATTGCACAGCACTAGGTAGTTGTAAAAGTGATTCAGAAGTCTTGCTACCCTGCTGCTGGCCATCAAGAGCCCCCTCCAGTGTCCCCCTCCAGTGCCCTATGTACTTTGTGTTCACCCCATAATTAATCACCCTTACTTTCACTTCTTGCTGACTACCAGCATCTGTTTTCTCTCTCCTCCACCTGTCAGGTCCAGTGTCTCCTTTCTCCATATTTCTTGTCATGCTGCCGATGTCCTATCATCCTGTGGCTTTATGTGTTGAGACTGCAAGCTCACTGGTCGCTTCATGATCAGTGTGCTTGTAGCCTGCAACACATAATGCTAGCAGCATGACAGGACATCGGCAGCATGACAGGACATCGGCAGCATGACAGGACATCGGCAGCATGACAGGACATCGGCAGCATGACAGGTGGGAGGCAGCATGACAGGAGGGGAGACTGATAGCTGGAGGAGAGCTATTCAAAACAGAAGATGCCGGCAATGTCGGCAAGAAGTACTGAGACACAGAGAAGTTACTGTAGGGGGTTATGGATGGCACCAGCACTGGAACAGCCGAGATCTAAATTGCCGACAGCCAGCAGTATAGTAAAGCCAGTACCAGTAATCAGATCCTATAACAATAATTTACTGGGGGAAAGCCAAAAGGGGACACATGAGTGGACATTAGACAGGGGGAAAGAGTGTGTGTAAAATGTATGGATGCGATCAGCAGCTATTCTGCTATTGATCGCATTTACAATGCAGTGCCGGGAGCCACATAGAACCGCCGAGTTTATTCACTGTTTGGATGTAATCAGCAACTTGTTAGCTGCTGATTACATCCATTTAGTGAAATTCAAAGTATCAGCTACAATTTGAGTGTAAGTTCATGGTTGCTGAAGCAACCATGAGCATACAGTGTTAGAAAATGCCAGGTCCGTACGGCATACTGACCTGGCCGGCTGGAAGCACTTTTGTACCTCCGTATGCCGTACGTCCTTGGCAGGGAAAGGGTTAAGGAAAATGAAGCCAGTGCAATGTGTATGTAGCAAAATGCACAAACATAAAGCTTTCTCTTTCCCTCACTAATGATTCATCTGCCTACCCTTGTTAGAGGAAGGAAAATGAACACACCATTCGGTTTCCGGTGCAGAGATGAGCATATTTTTAACCTTTCTTGGAGGCATAAGGAAATTTAGCTCAGAGTAGCAGGAAACGCGATAAGAAAGGTGGAAGTATACTTGATGATGATATACAGTATTTATATACTATTTTACTATTTTTATATACAAAGGGGTATGCTCTTTCTGTAAAAGAGGGATCATCCCTGTATTGGGACAGTGATATGCTGTGTGTTGGTGGATGTCATTTTTCACAAAGTAAGAAGTCTTTCTGCAGAAATGCTGCAAGCACTTATCACTTGTTGCCTACACTGCCTAGGCCTGCTGTTTAGGAAAAGGCTATTACTGATTCGATCTATAAAGTGACAATACATTTATAAAACATCATTTTTCTTGCAGGTTCGAGTTTTGTTGCAGGATGTCAAATTCAGTTCTGCTGACTTAGAGGAGCTTTATTATTTATTCAAGGTATTTTGAGAATAATAAATGTTAAACTGTGTCAAGAATTTATTTTCAAAATGTTACTTGTATCTTAGTGCAGACTTCTGGGAAAACAGACAATCACAGAAGCAGGAAGTGATATTTCCAGAGTAGTCCTGTACACCAACTGTGTACAGAACGCCTCCAGGTCTCCCATATTGCATTTTATTTTTTGACAGATTTAGAACATTACATTGGCTGCAGTTTTAAATGGAAAGGTAATTTTTAATATGTTTTCATTTTTGTGGAGTTACCCTTTTAATGATGAAAATATAAATTCTTCTTATGGCACCCCCAATTTTAATAGATCTGGGCCTGGTCTTTCAGTAGTACACATTCTAGAGATATGGTCAAAATAGGGTGAGAGTTTTGGGGAGATTCAGATACAGCTAATGATACAAGTTTTTGGATTTTGAAAAGTTGGGGGGTATAGCCAAAGTTCCCACAAGAGGTAAGAAGTGGTAAGACTAATCTACTGTATATTATTATTAGCACTACAAAATACCATGCGGCAGATCATACCACCAATATCTGTTGTATTTTTAAAAGCTGTAAAGGCTACAAATGGGAAATTAATCTATTAGGTGTTTTATATTAATCTGCTTTTTATATTGTTGAAACTCCCACACAACATTGCTTTATTCTGTGAAACGTAACAAGGGACTTTATTCTGTGAAACGAAACAAGAGTGTCATTGGCTTATTTTAGTGCATCAAAAAAAAAACATTTTTGCCAACTATTACCGTGGCAGACATTCACATTGAATTAAACATTAAAATGTCATGTTTCTTTTTTTTGCCTTGACCATTTTGTTTCTTTTACTTATTAGAGAGAACACTTCATGTCTTGTTACTGGAGTTTGAACAACAGCAGAATCCTTAGTCACCATGACCCAAGTCTACCATATTTGGAACAGTATCACATAGACTGCCAACAGTTCCGTACCCTATACCATCTGCTCAGCCCCTGGGCATATTCTCCTAGTTTAGACTCTCTTGCACTGTGGACATTCCGTCTGTTGGATGAAAACTCAGATGGTCTCATTAATTTTAAGGAATTTGCTTTTGCTTTTGGTGAGAACATAATGTATAGTACGATATTGAATGTGTCTTTGGTAAATTGTACAAAGGTATGATTCTTTACATCTTTCATTTATTTGCTCTAGATGTGTTATTCAATGGCAGTTTTACTGACAGACTCAAGCTGCTTTTTAAAATGCACATACCTCCAGGTAAGTTCACTAAATTCTTCTGTGTAAAGGCTATCTGATACCCCCAAAGTTAGTGCCTATTTCGGCTGGGGACCCCACTCGTATTATATGAAAATTCACAATTTCTGCAACCCTGTGGTCTACTGTGGCCAGGAGATTGAAGATATTGTCTACAGCAGTGTTTTTCAAACTTTTTTGTGCAAAGGCACACTTTTTTCATGAAAAAAATCACGAGGCACACCACCATTAGAAATGGATTTCCACTCGCCCCCACGCATTTTTCACTCGCCAATTGCGAGGGGGCGAGTGGAAATTTTGAGCCCTGCTCAGCCCAAGTGATTCCGTCAGGTAACGAAGGGAAGGGGGAGGAGTCTATGTCCGTGACGTCACCGGACTCCTCCCTCCTTCCCTTCGTTACCCATCACGGACAACTACATCACCCGACTCCTCCCCCCTTCCCTTCGTTAGCCGACAGAGCCACTCGGGGAAGGGGGGAGGAGTCCGGTGACGTCGATGTCCGTGACGTCACCGGATCTCCGACGGAAGACCCGGAAGCCGGCGGAGAGGTGAGTAACTTTGATCGATCAAAATAATTTTGATCGATCAAAGAAATTAACGATTTATTGACGGCACACCCGAAAATATCTCACGGCACACTAGTGTGCCGCGGCACAGTGGTTGAAAAACGCTGGTCTACAGCACCACCTTATGGGGAAATCTAGGATCGAGGTCCTTACAGATACACTGGTGACCTATAAAATATGTGTTTTACACTAAAAATACATTATAATAAATGATTCCATTTTTGCAACATTAAATGGGTAAATAAAGAGTATATTCCTATGGACTGAATGCTTTTAGACAAGACATTTCTCATCTTCTTGGCTGTAAAATCTGTTGCAGTTTCAGTCATGTTTTATATTTTCTGTATTTTGTTGTATTAGCTTTTACTGAAGTGGGTACTTTAAGCCCCTCAGAGGAAGCCAAGCTTTCCAAAGAAGATCTTATGCATTTCAGCCAACTTCACGGTAAATATAAATATTTTCTTGCACTGCAGAGATGAGATTTTAAGATGCTCATACTTGTCAAAGGATAACACTACAGAGGTATAATGAAAGCTTAAAGAAGGCCCGTTCCTCTGCATATAAGTAAATCTGCTCTCCTTGTATTGGGTACATCTGCATTTATATTGATTTATTAGCTTTTAACTTTTTTCTTTTAATATTATTGTGGTGTGCCTGCTCATGCCACTATATAGTAATTACTTAAAATTCATAAGAACTATGTTGGATATGCTACAGAACAAATAGGAAATGTTAGTTAATTAAACAGATATAGTATGCAAAACCATTGTTTACTACTGCAGTTATTTTGCACATAGCAACACAATGCACACTATGACTGTTGCATGTTATTACCAGTTTTAAAGTTGGACGACCTTAGTAACATTTTTTTCTTTTTATATTTACTTCAAAACAGCAGCACATGTAAAAGTGACATTCTAGTAAAATTTATAATTGGTTAATTAAGTTGTAGGAAAATGTACCCTCTCTGGAGAAATCAGGATATGGACTTTCTCTGGAGATCTGTCATGTAACCAAAGCAGAGGCATCTCTGAGATCAGTGTCCAGGCAGATCTGCCGGTTGGCTGGTTTTGTCTAGAATTAGTCTCATTGGCAGAGTCCATGTGATTATTGCTGCAGCATTTGACTTGTGACTGACCCCCAGAAGAAACCCATATTGCTGCTTTAGCATGAAAAGTGCATTCATCACAACTTCAATCACCACTTCCAAGTGAAAGCCTAACTCTAACTAGAGCTATTTTATTTAGATATTGGATGGTTTAGGAGTTAAGTCTGGTTTTTATTGTTGTCCTTATTCTTGTGACACCAGGATAAAGGAAAGGGAATTGGGGTCAACAGGACATGTTGGCTGTCACTATGCTCATTGTAGACACTACCTAGTTCCACTTCCAGCTCCTCTGCACTCCTGTCTCCAATAGGGAAAGTGATAAGTTATATCTCTAGTGTGGGGGAAAAAACGCAGACAGCAGTTCTAGTCCTTCCCATATATCTATTAATAAAAAAAAAAAAGACGCTGGCATTGACAACTATCATGCATTTGCTGTGTTTTGTCTGTTTTGTGAAACTTTCTGGTAACACACAAAAAATAACAATTCTGTTTTTTTTCCCCAACAGTAACATCTCCTACAGAAAATCAAAGTCCTGAAGACAAAACAAAGAGCCCTGAAAAAGGTATTCTTGCTGACCATAGAGCTGTTGGTTGTTGAGGCACAATCTGACTACACAGAGGCATGTTACTCAGCTGGTGGTACTACAAGTATGCTAGGATCACCCAAGTGTAAATGGATGTGAATGGATTGTGAAGGGAGTACATTCAGAAGCCTCCGCAATTATCTTTAGGAGTAGTGACCAGACACTTTTCCAATTTGTCTTATTTGTCTTCTCTGAAATTGGCTGGCTGGGGCTTGTGGTCGGCTTGTGCCCATAGACATGAAATCTTTCTCCAATCTGCAAGTGATTATCTCCCACACATGGCCGTTCTAGTTATTTCTCTAGTAATCTGGCCAAGTGCAGATTCACATCATTTGTTAATTAAAATAGCAAATATTGCTTACTATGTTTGCTACACAAACTCCACTACTGAGACCTGATCCAGTAATAACTTAGAATTAAAAAGTGGCTTGGTTATGTCCCTGATTTGTCACACACTGATAGTTTAATAGTTGATAGAATGTCTGCTTTGGAACATTTTTTGTGGACTATAAAAAATATTTTTTTGGTGTATACTTGGCTTTATACAGTAGCGGATGAAATGTTTAGGGGACATCAAGTTCATATTAACAGCGGAGATATTTATTTCATCCATTTCCAATTAAAGGAAAAGGGAAAATTGATATTCAGGCATATCTAAAGCAATGGCAAGATGAACTGGTGCGTAAGGAGGAAAGCATTAAAGACTTACCCAGAATGAACCAGGTAAGGAGTTTTATCATGTGCAGACCTTGTGTAAAATAACTATACAGTAATACCTTGGTTATCGAGCAAAATTTGTTCCGGAAGCATGCTTGTAATCCAAAGCGCTTGTATATCAAAGCGAATTCCCCCATAGGACATAATGGAAACTCACATGATTCGTTCCACAACCCAAAAATATTCATATAAAAATGATTGCAATACTGTACTGTAATATAATACTGTACAAAATATAAAGAAAAATAAACCAATTACAGGTACCTTCGTGGCTGGTGTGAGGGAGACGAGAGAGAGGAGGATGATTGTGTAGGACGACTTTCACCATCACTAACGGAATCACTGCCTTCTCTCGGCTCAATGGAATCGTTTTCATTTCCTGGAATCTATCCAATGACACTTGCTTTTGCCTCCTTTTGAGGATTTCGCGGAAATGTGACATTGCATTGTCGTTAAACAGATTAATCGCTCGCACTGCTACAGCCTTATTTGGGTGTTGCTTTTCTACAAAATTTTGCTCGTATATCAAGGCAAAATTTTTCAGAAATGTTTGCTTGTCTTGCGGAACACACGCAAACCAAGTTACTTGTAAACCAAGGTATTACTGTGCTGCTATTTTCCATTGAATGACCTGAATTATTGTCCATTGAGTCATTACTGAAAAAAATAGAGTATTCCTTCTTTATTTTTGCTCAAAATGAGCAGTTAACCCTTGCAGTGTGTGTGTAGGGGGGGGGGGGGGGG